AGCCATCAGGAAGCTGACAATAGTACGGCTCAGGAAGCGGCCTTACGCTCATCGCCAAGAGCGCGGTTCCGCACAGCATCCACGATGCCACGAAGTAGGGCTTCCTGTGCTTGCCGAAAATGGGGAGGCAGTCGTTCAGCATGCCGAAGGGAAGAAGCAGCACCTGCGGAAGCTTCATGAGCGCATTGATGGACAGCACGACGTAGGAGTCCAAACCCATGTAGCCCAGGAAAAATCCGTAGCCCACACTAGTCGCAAGAGAGTTCAGGAAAGCAAGGAAGAAGGCACCGATTGGAAGGCCGCAAGTTCGCCATGTCCAAATGCTGGGGCACTCCTCATATGCATCCTCCTCGGTCTTGCAGCCGATCTCCACATCGTAAGCAGCCGGGGACACATCTGCCGGAGTGAAGGAGCCGCTTGAATCGACGGGCAACGTAGTGCTCTGCGAGTCGGGTTCACCTTACTTGTTGCTGATTGGAACCGCTTGAGTTATAGTCTGAACTCCAATATCAATCCCAAAACTCGTTCTTATATACAACCTATTGCACCTTCCCTACCAAGCACCGCAAGTCACTCACTTGGGTTTCCTGCTCTGAGTTTGTTGGCGACTCGGGAGATTCATCGGCGGGCTTCTCGGCGGCGGGCTTCACGCCGATGAACTTCACATTCTTCTCATCGACTGGAGGCGCAGACAGGCACATGGCGTCGAAAAGATAGGTCTGTATATCTCTCCCGAACCGTCAGAAACAAAAACCTCGAGCAACAGTCATGCCGGAATTGCTGACACCTGCATTATCCTGCATTCTCTTCTGTCCTCATCATCATCAGTATCATCATTAACACCATCAGTGACGGAACAACCATGCCCGAAGGCTCTCCTGGATTTCCTGCATCAGCCGCCTCTGCGGCGGCGCTTTGGGATCTACCTTCGCGTGCACAGTTCCGGCGCTCAGACAACGCAGATCAATGCAGCATGCACCTTCCCTGCTCACCTGTGTCTTCTACAGATTGCTGTACCTGAAACGACATACAGTCATACAGAGTCATACAGCATCAGTATACGTAATCTAGAAGGCGTAGCGAGGGTCTGAGCTCGGAGCCTTGCTGTGGAAGCGCTTCTTTGGCTTCTGACTGCCAGGGCCAGGGCCAGGCCCAGAGCTCTCCTTGGAGACAGAACATGCATGTAAGGGATTTTGTGGCTCTTGGGTCTTAAGCCGGATTGGGCAGAATTTCGAAATTCTGACCGCGCTAGCGCTCCCAAAAGGGTCAAATTAGTGATCAGGCCGTTTTCTCACGAGGCAGCGGCAGTAGCAGCAGCAGGAGTAGCAGTTGGAGTAGCAGCAGCAGTAGGAGTGGGAGCAGGAGTAGCAGGAATGGGAATAGGAGTAGTAGGAGTAGTAGTAGGAGTGAAAATGGTAGTGGTCGTCGTCGTCGTAATAGCAGCAGGAGCGGGAGGAGCGAGCCCAGGAACAAGAGCTGTCGTTGCAGTTGCCGTTGCCGTTGCCGTTGACGTTGCCGTTGCTGTTGCTTTTGCTGCTGCTGCTGCTGATGCTGCTGCAGGTGCTGCTGGTGCTGTTGCTGCTGGTGCTGGTGCTGTTGATGTTGCTGCTGCGTTGTTGCTGTGGCGCTGTTGCTTTGTTGCTGTTGCTTTGTTGTTTTGTTGTTGTTGTTGTTGTTGTTGTTGCTGTTGTTGTTGTTGTTGCTGCTGCTGCTGCTTTGTTGTTGTTGTTGTTGTTGTTGTTGTTGTTGTTGTTGTTGCTGCTTTGTTGTTGTTGTGTGGTGGTGGCGGCGGCGGTGAACTGCTGTGCAACCACACGTTGGCCTGGATCTCTTTTCTACTTTCCAGACTCGCCGAACTCACACGACAACATTAAAGACTTGAGCACAGAATAGTCACTAATTTGCCAGAACACATCACAACTCGTGGCGCTGTGTACAAGCACTCAAAATAAGGTCACTCCGCCACACTTATTGAACCCTAAACCGGTCACTCAACCCAACCGCCCCCCCCCCCCCCCCCGCCCTTCGACCCCACCCCTTCAGCAAAGTCTCTGCTCGAGCCGCCTCCTCTACCTCCTCCACCTCCTCCTCTTCCTCGACTTCAGCGGGCTCCGCCTCTGCCGGCCTCTTTATGGAAGGCGAGCAGGGTTTCACAAGGGTTTCCACAGGTGTTCTGAGTTTTTGTTTGCGATGTTTCCAGGTTTTTATGGGTTTGCTTGGTTTCACGGTGTCGCACTGGGATGCGGCTCAATGAAGTTCAGAGATTGCGAGGCGGCTTCGTTGCAAGGGACCTGGTACACTTCTCCATATTCTGTGCGTGTCATCCTTGCCCAGGGCACATGCTAATCCTGGCTGTGTCCTCTCAGGTTTATCGGATGATCCTGCAAGGAGGAGCTTTAGGCACGGAGCTTTGGTGTTCAGCATTTAGCTTCGATTTCACAGCTTGGCATACCGGGTGAATGTCCGCCCATGTGTCCAGGCAATGTGAGTGAGAAAGGCGTTCCAATGTGTCTGATTCGATCAGAATGTGATCAGAGTTTCACTCAATCCCTGCAAAGAAGCAGACATGCCAACAACCAGGACGGCCCAGGGCCTGGATCGAGGGTAAATGTAAAGAGCTCTATGCCGCTGCTTCAAACCCTTCTGCATGTCATTGAACAAGGTCATGCGGTCGTGAAAACGTCCGATTATTCGGATCAGCAGAAGTCGGCCACTTCAGACTATGTTTCGAACCATTCCTGTCGCTTGCCAAAGTGGCGGTGGGTGTCACTGCGACCTAAAGGGCGCTCGATGTGCAGGTTACCATTCCCCCCCATGCAGCGTGCACCAGAGAAGCCCGAACTGAAGCTTCCGACTTAGGGCGCATGAGCCAAGGGCCACGGTGCTACAAGCTAAGCAGCCTGTCGACATGTGACAGTCTAGGCTTGAAAAGTTGGAATTACTTCAAGCCTTCCACCAAGTGACTTCGAGATCCGCTAAATGTCTGAAACGTCGGGCCTCTTCTTCACCCTGCCGCGTTGTTCGGTGGGCACTGCTTTAGCTGCTTTGGGCGGCGCCCTCTTTGGCTGCTCGGCAGGTCTTTTCTTGATCCTTGGCTTTAGGAGCCCTTGTACCCTCAACCTTTCCCGGCTTGAGCCCATTTCTAGTCCTTGCCTTATTCACCTTAGAACTAAAACAAGTCACAGCGCATCCAACCCCTGGTGCTGCAATTGCGAAGCCTTGGTTTCCTAATCACTAAGCAGTTCATTGTCTACCCCGTGAACAGACTCTGCACCCGTTAATGACGTCGTAGAAAACCTCTCCAGCTGCGGAATGGCGTCTGCAGAACTTCTGCAATGAGCGACAACGCGGCCCTTCACTTAAGAGGTCTTCAACACGCTGTCCCTTCAAACGACCTCGAAATCCCGCGTCGTTGGCAAGCTTTAGAGTCTTGACATTTCTCAACGTTCTACAGAAGGAGTCTTCCTGCTCCAGGTGGCCACTTCTCGTAGGCCCTCTCAATGTCAGCATAATTATGGCCAAGCTCAAGTTATTAAAGGTGGCAAACTGGAAGCGTTTAATTAAGCCCCCCGAAACCCTTTGTTCTGAAAGTGCCCTCTAAATGGAGGCTTGACGACCTAACCCAGAAGACTCCAAGGACACCACGCACTCCATAAGAAGGCAAGCCTTAACCCTGAATCCCCGCACACTGCACCAAACAAGGTCCAGCCACTTGGAAGAGTCCGACCGGCCCCGAACCATGGCAAAGGCAAAGACGAAACTGGAACAAGCCAGATCAAGACTGTTCCAGGTCTGTGGCGACCCGGCGACCTACCCAATCAGTATCAGTGTGGCATGAATGGCGGAGGACGTATTGAGCTGTGCAAGTGTTCTTTGCTACTGTGCGCTCATAGTCTATCCTTCTACCTTGCGGAGTTCTGCGGCAACAATATCAATGGCGAGCCATCTCGTTTTCGACTGTCACACACGCACAGGAACCTCGAGTACCTTACTCTTGTTGTCATTAGTAGTAGCAGTAGTAGTCGTCGTCGTCGTTGCAGTAGTAGTAGTAGTAGTAGTAGTAGTAGTAGTAGTAGAAGTAGTAGTTAGTAGTAGTAGTAGTAGTAGTAGTAGTAGTAGTAGTAGTAGTAGTAGTAGTAGTAGTAGTAGTAGTAGTAGTAGTAGTAGTAGTAGTAGTAGTCGCGGCAGCAGCAGTAGTAGTAGTCGTAGTAGTAGTAGTAGCAGCAGTAGTAGTAGTAGCAATAGCAGTAGCAGCAGCGGCAGTAGCAGTCGTAGCAGTAATAGCAGTGGAAGCAGTGGTAGCAGTAGTAGCAGTAGTAGCAGTAGTAGCAGTAGTAGTAGTAGTAGTAGTAGTAGTAGTAGTAGCAGTGGTGGTAGTAGTAGTAGTAGTCGTCGTCGTGGTGGTGGTGGTGGTAGTAGTAGTCGTCGTCGTAGCAGGAGTAGTAGTCGTCGTCGTGGTGGTGGTGGTAGTAGTAGTAGTAGTAGTCGTGGTGGTGGTGGTAGTAGTAGTCGTCGTCGTAGCAGGAGTAGTAGTCGTCGTCGTCGTGGTGGTGGTGGTAGTAGTAGTAGTAGTAGTGGTAGTAGTAGTAGTAGTAGTAGTAGTAGTAGTAGTAGTGGTAGTAGTAGTAGTAGTAGTAGTAGTAGTAGTAGTAGTAGTGGTAGTGGTAGTAGTGGTAGTAGTAGTAGTCACAGTAGCAGCAGGAATGTATTAATTGTTCCGTTAGTACTTCTACACGGCCATACTGTTATCGTTGAGGCTTGTGTGCCCAGGTAACACGGAGCTCAAAGCAGGCTGGAGGACCCCAAAGCAGACAAGCGAAGATCCGAACCACTCCAACCAAAGAAAACCCGCCACAGGCAGGGTTGAAGGTTTCGACGCACACTCTCGCACTGGGCAGGCATGGCTTCGTGTCGGCTGGGTTGAAGATTTAGTGTCTGTTGTCTTGGCGTTGGTTCTGCTCTTCCGCTTTGCCTCAGTGAGTGCATTCTGGGTTCCCAGCCACTGGTGCAGCCGCAGGATCTCAGTGCCAAAAGGGCATATCGGGAGTAAGACTAGCAAGCAAGATCGGATCAGACCCTGGCCAAATAGCTTCCATCGCCCAGGCAGCCCTGGTAAGCGTGTGATCTCACCTCAGTACGTACAGTCATCGATGTGGGCCTGTCTCTCACGCCTAACTGATTACAGGCATTCCTCCAACCAAGGAGTTATACAGTTGTGCATTTCTGAACGTGAAACTTAACAGTGTTTGACACGCCCCCCCCCCCCCCCCCCCCAATCAATCCGGCCTAGGGGAACCGGCTTCGCTGCCACAAGCCATCAAGTGATAATGCACTATCCCTAGCAGCACTTTCGAAGAATAGTTAGTTTTGGGACCCTTATCTCGTCCCCGTATCAGGACTTTTAAAGTGGGGTTTTCAGATCCAAAGAGAGGAACACCAAAACGGCCTCTCATCCGAAAGGGCGGGCACGATGCAGCTGCTCGTGATTTTCAACTTCGTGTTCAGCTCTCTGGAACTGCGCCTGCCGGGGCTTTCTCCTCAGCCTCGCTACTTTACTCGGTTAGCGTACTTCAAACGACACGGCTGTCTCTGCGCTGGTCGCCTGCGGCAGCCTTGCTTCGGCAAAACGACCACGGCAAGCTGTACACAGGACAGCTATGCGCCATGGTCTTACTGCAGGAACTGTACCACCGCACTGACGTGCGAGCCCGCTCTCCCACGCACTTTAAATGCGCATTGCTATAGCGACGGGAGAGATCCTAGGCATCGTCGACGCATCGGCGAGAAAACTTCGCATCTTTCAGATGGGGAAGAACGACAGACTTCCCAGCATCGATGAAGGGCGTCTGTACATTGCAAATGGAATCAGAGAGCATCTGTACATGCTCTGAATTTGAATAATTTGGAGTCGCTGGAGTCTTTAAACCGGCCGCACGACAAGTCTCTAGACAAGAGTGCCCGTCTTCCGTGGCCACACAAGCTTGAATCGACCCCTTTACACAAGCTTGACTACCTGGCAAGTTCGAGGTTTCTGAATTCCATTCCGTCAGCAAACGGCTGTCATGCCTTGGTCCTTGCAGGACTTCCTTCTATCGGCTCAGGGTTCCAATGCTTGCGAACATATTCCAAGGTGATGACCGTTCCTCATCGACTCTTAACCGCGGTGGACTCTACTGCTCTACTGCACTATCACTAGCACAGTCGGTTGACGCATATCGGGAACACTCCAAAAGGTACAAGTGTGCAACCGGCTCCTCGGTGCTAGCTGCTAATCACTCGCACCGGACGAACACAGGAACACATGACACTGCTGAGCGCCTGAAGTTATCCAAGCCACCACAATACTCCAAAGTGCGAGTTGCACGATCCGGACTAAGCAGGGTCCAACTGTCCTGACAAAAGTCGGCGGGGCTTCGGGGCCCTAACTTCCAGCTCCGATCCGCAGGACGCGAAAGCAAGATCAACAGCCCGGATCTGATCATTCAGTCTGAGAAGAAAAACACGACTCAAACTCCATGTTGTCGGTCAGGAGCTTTACATACACCTCTCACGGCTTCTGGAACGCAAGCTGTGCCCAGGACTGCCGCATCTGATGGGTCTTGTTGTGTCAGTGTACAAGCCGAGTTCCTGTTCAGCTTCAGTTCCTAAGTAACGAGCATGCTCTGCATTTTCAGGTGCGGTCCTGCAAGCAGTGTGCGCCGACATGTGCCGGCCTGTCGCCAAGAACACATGCACAGGCAAAGGAGTGTATTGAAGGCTCCATCCCTTCGGCCAGTAACGGCACAGGACGTGGCTCTCGGGCTGGTAGTTATACTTGGGGGAACTTCGAGAGGTCCCACCTTGCCCAAAGCACGGCCAACTGGCCGGGTTCGAGAGAGAGGCAGCGCGCGCGTGCTGTCCCCCCCGCCGGAGAAGGAACCTTAGCTCTGAACCCCAAGCAACGCCATCTGCCTCTCGAACATGTGGAGCCTTCTTGCGGGAATGTGTGCTGCTCAGAGAAAAAGTGACAAGCGATTGGGATTTCAAGATTAAACCCGCACCCGCATATTAAGCTTCCTTGTTATGCTGACAGCGCGGTACACATTCTGCTCTAGAGAGCGCGTTGAGAAAGGGCCTCAGTCAAAAAGACTTAACCTCGCAACCCCGTCCAGGTGGTATGGCTCCATATACGATCAACGCAGAAAGGGGGGGGTGCCCTGCACTCTGCTACGTTAGTACTAGATGGCTACAGACACAGCCGTGCACGGACGAGCAACCATCACCGTACAAAGGCCAATCCGTTTTTAACGCAGATTGCAGAGACAGAGACATAGTATACATGTGTAACTACGTCCGAAATGCCGCAACTGCCTACTTCGCAGGCAGATGTGAAAGCAGACAAACGAGTGTTAAAGCTCTATGCACAAGCGCATTTACCGACAGCGGCTTGATGGAAGATCACAGAGGCGCACTGTGTTTCAACATGTTCTGGGACACCAGAGCTCGGGGGAAGGGTTCGGTGCAGTGCAGCCGCACGTCTGTGGACAAAACATCGATGCTGGCCGGCGCTGGTTGTGCATGCAGGCGGTGCTCGCAATCCAGCTCATGGAGCTAACGAAGGAGCAGTTGCCCTCTGCACCCTGATCGGCGAACTGCATCATGAGGTTCGCGGTGCCCCACTCCACAAGGTTGTAGTCGTAGAAGCCGCTCCACCACCTGTTCCAGGATTCACGCCGAGGATCGTTGCTTTGCAGGTCTTCACATTCCGTGCTGTTCAGCCCAGTCTGGAACAGGTCTTCCTGCTGACACTGCTGACGGCAACCGTTGTCGGCATAAAGTCCAGAGGCAGGGGACATGCAACCGCAAGTCTGCGGGCAAAGCATGCGTATCAGTGGCAAGTCCCTCCGGTCGCAGAAAGGCAGTGCTGTCTGGCAGTCTGCAGCGCTTTGATTCGTCAAAGCCTTGACAGTTGGCCAGAGCCAGTCGGCTTCCCAGAAGTCGGTCCCGTTTCCGCGGTCCTCACAGCGCGTGCCGTAGCTTCGGCTTCCCATCCCGGTCTCTTCGGGAGCTTCTGTGTCCGACTTCGTCAACCAAGCCTGAAGATCTTCAAAATCTAGGGTATGCTTTACGGCAATGCTACCTCCATCGGACGATCTCCGCCACATGCGATGCGCGACCTCGTCCTTCTGGTAACTAAAGATCACTTCAGTGACCAATGGTCGCATACCAGTCAGCATGCCGCTGCCGGCATTGATGCTGAAGTTCTTCGTGTCCATCACGAACATGGGTCCCAAAGTGGGATGGGTGCCATAGATGAAATCCCTGTTGCCACCGCACAGCATGTCTCGGGCTTGACGAGCCTCATCCGCATTGTTTTGGAGCGTTGTGGAAACGAAAAGCCACACAGTGGCCACCAGCGCAATCAGCTTCAGCACACTTTGGGCATCCACGCCATGCCACATCTTCCTCGTACCAAGATCCAGTGGTCGAATTGATTTCATATATAGCAGCATTCGTCGAGGTGCCAAAACACGGAAGAGGACATCATCAACCTCCAAAACGAAGTCGAGGGCGACAGCATTCAGGAAAATCTCAGACGTGTCACGAGTCTTGCAAAGCCACAAAGCGCCGGACACCCCGAGTAGAATGGCCACGGCCATGCGACAGAAGAGAACCACAGTAAGCACAGCCAGCCGGCAACAGCTGACGCTCTGGAAGGTCCGCTCCCCCTCACGCATACGGGCGACCAGTGTCTCACCCCTGGGGAGACGATACAAAGCAACCCCGAGACGGCCCACATACTGAAGCTCTGCAGCCACGTGGCATGCCCAGACAGAGATCGCGAGGCTGCTGAGGACCACACCAACCCCGAGGTTCGGGAGCACAGTGTCAAAGAGGGGCATCAAATAGCGGTCTATCTCACCGAGCAAGTTGTTGTTCCACCAGTCCTGCTCAAAGGCCTTACCTTCACAAACCTTGCTGACCAACGATGCGCCCGATGCAACATCATACGAGGCCACGCCGTGGCCGTACATCACACGCCACTCCTTCAAGTACTGCAGGTCGTATTTCGGGTCGCTATCCAAAAAGGATGCATAGACCACCCAGCAGAATAGCAACTGCATGCCGAAGCATAGGCAAAATCCAATGAAAATCATCAAAGACCCCAGCGACCCAATTTCATCCAGACCCACGACGAAGAGAGCATCCCAGAAGGAGTCCTGTCACTATGCAATCATGTGCAGGAAAGAGGGGCTACGGATGATAAGCTTCGAGACCACTCGGAAGACGACAGACTCGCAATGAGGTGGACAGGAGTATGTGAGGCCATAACTACGCGGTGCAACATCGGGGACTGCAAACAACAGTATGCGCACAGTGACGTAGCAATGCCATGTGGTCAATGCCTCACCATGATGAGAAGCAGAAAGAGGACACATCAGTGCCGAAGCATGCCCACACCGGAGGTCGTGGGAGAACAAAGCTGCTGCTCCATTCTGAAAGACGTCTCCTGGAGGGAGTGTTGCAGCCGCGCCTGGGACACCACGCTCTTCCGGTTCTTGGAGGGCCTGATCCCAAGACGGCAACAGCGAGCGATGCAAGCAATTGCCACTGGAGACGAGGAACAAACCACGGGAAGCGATGTCCTAGCACAGAAAGCCGAAAATTCTATGGCATCATGCCAACAGCGCTCGATCCATCAAGCAGGAATGCTGAAGTGAGAAAACTTTAACAAGAAACCGCTCCGTCTTCAGAGACAATCCCAGGATTCCTAGAAGCCCTCCTCCAAGTTCTGTTGCACCCGGGTTCCGTTAGGTTCTGGTACTGGCAGGTTGCAGAGCACTCCATCATTCAGCACCACTGGCCAGAAGTGTCCGGAAACTATATCTCACCTTATCTCTGCTACGATCATGCTCCCTTACGACGAAGTGGCATCATGGTGATTTTTCCCCTGGGGCTCCAGGATGGGCCTGGAAGTCTCGGCCGGCTCCGCAGCTGGCTTTGCGACTTCCTCTGCTAACTGCATGTAACAACAGCCGGACGAAGGAAAGGAAACTCATCCTTATGCAAGCGCTTTCAGCTGCTACTGTAGATGTGTGCTCCAGGCTAAAACACATCTAGCTATAATGCAGGTCCTCGTCCTGGAACTCTTCATTGACCTCCGGCTCCTCCTCTGTCGGTGTCTGCGGCGACGAGAAATCCAGTGCCACCTGCTTTTCCTGAGTACGACATTAGACAAAGACGGAGCTGCTGAAACAGAGAAGCAACTGGTGCCTAGGGCCACGGAAGCGCAACCCTGAGACCAACGGAACTATAACGCAAATCCGATGGAGACAGAGCCGAAACTGTTGCAACTTAGCCTGACCCCGCCAGCGCCGAAAAACTGTCCAGAAATAGTCCCGAATGTACTGACAAACACAAACAAAAAGCCTTCTTGAGTTCTTTTGCAATGCAGAACAATGCAGAAGGCTACAGCCTGACACTTCTCCAAACTACGAAGAACAGGAAAGTCATCACTGCAGAGTTCGACCTTCAGATGCCTTTTGGGAGAATCGAGGTAGGCATCCGACAGGAGAACTGTCACAGTCCTAACCCTCAACAGCAGTCTTGTCAAGGCGCGAGGGTGTAGAGCCGACCCTGCAGGAGCTTCCTCGGAGAACGTTGAAGCTCTGGAGTCTTCGTGAGAGAGCACAGACATGTTTCAATCCATACTGTGCTTTGATCACAAACCGAAGGCTTAGCGATACCCTGACATCGCCAAGGCACAACTCCTGCTGCATGTGGGCCACATCGTCGTCAACGCTTTGGGTAGAGAAATGAAGGAGCTCCTGCGTGGCTGCGAACCTGCTTTGGATGTTGAAACTTGCCGGCATAGCAGCACCCGCGAGCTGTTCCCTTGTTTCGGGGTGTTAAGGTGTAGACTCTGTAAACACTGTTACAAGCACAACTCATCGTCACGTGGCTCCTCCAAGCGCTGCATCCTTTGCTCCAGTTCAACTTCACCGGCTCTGTGGGCCATGGCTCTGCTATGCAGAACACCGGATGAGATCAAGAGCCCATCCGTTTGTGCCAAATGCCTCTCAGAAAAGATTAAGTTTTTGCACGTTCTTGGTTCAACCCAACCGATTAAGGCCACACCTTCTAATTCTAACTGACACACAGGCATAACGCATCACCAGACTATGTTAGCACCCGATTCGCCGACACGACCTTGGGAGGATTCACGCCCCTTCAAAACGTGCTTTGCAGCAGCCGAAGACCGGACGATCTTACCTTCAAAATTAAGCACAGCCACTGCGATGGAAAGCGTTTGCAGCACGATCTTGCCAAGCTTTCGAATTTAGTTAAACTAGGGCGAGACGAGGGTTTGCGATCTTAGGTTGGGCTTTTTGTGAGTTGGGGATTGAGGCCTTTCCTATGGGTCTTTCGCTGGGTTTGGGGTTGAGGTATGAGTTGTTATGGTTTGAGTGTTAGGGGGTGGTGCATGGTTAGAAAATGGAAATGGTCATTGCTAACTCAAAACCATGAAAGTAACCACGGTTTGCTGGGATTCTGTCGAATCCTTGAGATTGTTGTGATGCAGGTTTTTCCGTGGATGCGGTTGGCAATGCCGACGCCCTGTGGCTTGTTAGACAGGCATTCCAAAATTCACACCACGGGCTTGCACCGCCATCGACATGGGATCTGGGACACGGGTGAGAAAGGCAGCTAATCTAGAACCGGGCTGCTAATATTAAAACGGCTTGAGCCAACTCGCCCAGCACGGCAAGTTTGAAGCTCATCTCTGGTACCATCAAGCGCTGCGACTGATGTGACCTAGCAGCTCTGACCACTGAGCCATCCAGTGGGATGACTGCGTACCTCAGCAGAGAGCGCAGGTTAACTTGTGGCTGCTGAGGCCTTCAAGCTGGAGGTCCACTCGCCAAGCTGCATGGGCTGTCCCATACGAACAGGCGTGAAGGTTTGCCGCATCATCGAAATGTTGTATTCAGTGCACTCCTCGGCTGGGAAACCCTGTCCAAAAGTTGTAGAGCAGTCTATAAACATCATCAAAGTACCGGAGGATGAAACCTTTCTGCCCGGACGCGGGCGGATCACAGCGAGTGGGAAGCGCAGGGTGCCAACAAATGTCCATGACCTCAGCTTCTACGGTTACATCTCCGCGCACCAGGTACGACATCTGCAGGACTGGCCAACACCGGGAAACTGTTTAGGCGAAAGGCACATGGGGGCCTGGACTTCCGTGGGAGCCGGTTTCGGGAGACTAACTAGGCCATCCTCCGAAGCCTGAAAACCACCTCTCCAAAGAGGTTAAATTCAGAGAGGCCGCTGACAAGAGTGGATCCAACGGCTCGCTCTTCGCCTAGATACGCTCCGGAGAAGATCGCTCGAATAGGATACCAAGGACAAAGAACGTCGCACACTACCACCATCACATCTATATGCTAGATCGATAGAGGCAGCTACGTAGCTGGATAGACAGACAGATCCAGCCAGCCAGCCAGGCGGACAGGCAAATAGAAATGGCAAGCCCCACATTTACATTTTACCTGTCTTCTAATTGGTAGCCACCTGTCCGTGCCTTGTTCAGAATCCAGTCGCCTTCCAAGGTTTTGAGGTTCCTTGCGTGCGACACATTTCAGAAACTTGATGAAACTTGTAACATTGCAGATTGAACAACCAAGCGCCACTTGCACTCGAAGGGTGGAAACAGAATGCCAAGAGGCTCCTATCCCCGCCATTTCGTGGGCGGGCACCAAAACACTTCCAAAACACCAAGAGGCGCCCTCCCCCTTCTACTAGGGACCACCATGCCCACCACGTGTCACTCCACGGAGACAGTGGTGGCAAAACGCTGGAGATGAGGTTTTTGATTTATAATGCAGCCCTCGCAAAAGCTGCTTGAGAAGCACGCTCTTAACTCCCGGGCTTCGAGAAAACAGAAAGGTGCGGTCGAAATCCAGGGTCAACACAATTCGGATGCGATGCTTTCAGTGCTTTCCTGCTTTGAAAACAAACGCTTCTCAGCAGCAAGTGCTTGTATTTGCAAGTGGAGGCGTTTGTTTGACAATCGGCTTGCACAATAGTCGCTTTTAACGATTGTCATCGACACTTGCCAGTCTTCGTAAAAAAGCTACTCATGCCATTACTACATGCTCCGCGGGTACGCATTGGTTTGCTGCTACTCGCTCTGCATCTGATAGCTCTTGGCTTTGAATTGCCGGCTCGATGCAATTGACTTGAAATGTGTCATGCTGGCTTGACATGTACCATCATGTACCAGCCAACTGCCGCACGGGAGATCTCGACAATCCAACAGATGCTGTCTTCACAACGGTCCCCGCTACGTCGCCAGGCGTCACCAATGCTTGGAGGTGCGGCTGCTCTTCTTCCAGAAGGTAGTCTGCATCCGTCTGCAGAAGGGAATGACATCACTGCGGAGCACAGTTGATTCAGCGTGCCTCGCATGTGCTCGCGCTTCAACTGCATGCGTCTGAATCTCTTATGCATTTACCTTGCGGGCATCGAACCTCGTTGCCATAGCCACCATCCCAAATCGGCCCGGCGCGGGCTTGCTTGCCTGGTGGGGGCACTGACGTGGATAACGCACAGGCCTGAGGCGGATTTGCACGCCTTCACCGAAAGCCGAGCCGCCAAAGCGCCTGGGCCTTCGGACTCCCGCACCGTGCGAAACTCCTGGGGAACCGCGAGCACGAGCTGTTTCTACAATGCAAGAACATCCGCAGGTTGTGATGCACCTAAGCCTCACCTACACAGCTGCAGACAGCAGCCCGGTTTGGGGTAGAAAATGATCCCTCGCAGGGTGACCTGTACTTCGCAGGATGCACGCAAAGTTGAGAGCGGCTGTTTCCTTACACCATGTATGGCATGACTGCTTCTCAGACGAAGATCGGGCATCGGCGAGGGAGAACATCCAGGAGAAACAGCAGCAAGCTGAGGATGGCATGGCTTCGCGGTGAAAGTCCGAAAGACGTCTGTCCGCCGATCTATATAGCAAAGAAGCACCATCTCGTGACATGCTCAAGCCTCTTGCGTTTCTGAGACCGTCTGATGCCTGAGCATTGCAGCCCGACTTGGTCTGCCGATATACTACAATACGGTATGAACATAGGAGCCACACACCTGCAGTACGTCTCTTGAAGCTTGGGGCTGAAGGCCTGCTCCTTCTTTTCTGGACTGGAACCCTACACCGTCTGTGGTGTCCTCATCGTAGCACTTCGGAATGCTTAAGTAACTCTAGTTGAGAAGGCTACATTGCCCACAGTTGCCCATGCCTGCGCATTCCCCTGCAACCACCACCACCACCACCACCACCAACAACAACAACAACAACAAGGATCAGGCGCCGCGAAGAATCTGAATCCACGGTCACAGTCTGAAGAAGCTTGTCACCAGGGCCCTGTTGCAAGATCTTCTTATCAGGCTGAAATCAATAGTTCCAACTTCCACACAGGGCAGTCTTCGGTTCCCGGCAAGCGATCCGGGTCCATCTTCACCGCCGGAAAAGGCCTGCACCCGGTAGGGCGACCAGTGCCGAGCTCCTTCTTAAACCTCGTTTCCATACGTAGAGTAGACAAGATCTGGTTAAAAGCCTTTGAACACATCACCTTGTGGAATTCTTCGAACTTCTTCGACAGAGATGGGCTTAAGACAATTCTGGTGTCCTATAACAAATAATACCCTTATGCCATCATTGTTATAGTACTTGGCCTTGGTGCTAGCCGTATCATAAAGAGCAAATCAGGAAGGATCAGGATTTCGGAGAGAGCTGGAGCCTGAGCTCGAGCACACAAAGTCGTGACTTAACCTGTTGCATGGCTCACAAGCATGGAAGAATGACCCTGCCTTCAACGTCCTACATACTACATGCTGTATTATGGAGACTATAATTGGGGATTATATAGGGACTACTATAGGTATCTGCTTCAGACCAGGACAGATGTGGGACACATTATGCCTTGGTCTTCACCTGAGGCTGCTGATTGGGTGAAAGAGCCCGCTTCTTGCGCTATAAAGTTTGCGGCGCATTGCACGTGCCAAAGCACCGCGCAAGGTCAGCCATGGGTCACAGGGCGAGGTCGAATGCACGGAACCAGCTTCAACCTCAAAAACAGCAGAAAAGCAAAACCCTTGACTCCAAGCAGCACCTCGTTCGCGGACGGCTCGACCTGTGCAAGTTCACATGATTTGCGTCTGTGCTCGAGCTGCTCGAGGACACCATCAATCTCTTTATGTTCCTGGCCTCGCCGGACACGACGCGCTGGGCAGCTTCTGGCAGGGTGCGGTGGCTCAGACGCCCCAGGGCAGACCTGAGGAGGTGAAGCGCCAAGGATTTTCAGGGGCTCGCGCACGACCTTGTGCCTAGCCCCCCTGATACTGCGACCCATTTTCAACATCACAAGGGGTCTACCTGAAGCTTAAAGCATCAAGTCTGTCAGCCTTTTTGCTCAGCACGTGCCACGAGCGATCTATCGACTGCAGCATCCCTTGCTCGCAGGAGCCAACAAACAAGCCCGGCAGGACCGGGAGAGAGTCAGAGGTGCACCTTAACCAACTGCAAAACAAGCCTCAACAGTCCCTGAGTCTTTACTCGTCTGGCACCCTGCGACATCGGAGCCGCTCACTACAAAGCCCCGCGGCCTCCTTGTGCCGCGGTGGGTGACACAGCATGCGTTCCAGGGCAGGTCTTCCCCAAGTTGCTCCACAAACTTATCATCATGACAAACTACTCGCCAAGGATCGCAACAACCGCAGGAGGAAAAAATCATAGTCGCAACGTCTGGTAGCAACAAGCATTCGCCTCGACCCCGGCCGAAGCTCAGAGTATCCCAGTAGGACTCGTTTCCCCTCCTTCTATCCCCTCCCCGCTCCACACGTGCCCCAAGGCACGATGGTAAACTTTCTTGTCATCCGCTGGATTTCGGGGGTCTACATATAGGCAATCCGACGCAAGGTTCTCTCCCCCGCCTCCCTCCCCGCAGCCGTCCACCCGTCCCCGACTATATACTCTCGGTCTCCTCTCTCTCGGTTGTGACCGCGCTGATGCGGACGAAGCGAGGCCTGTAGAACTCGCAATAGTAACCAGACGAAGAAGGATAACAATAGTCTGAAACATTGCTACTATGCTGTTGCATGTGCAGAGCCAGATTTGGGGAAGGGACCCCTGCACCCGGAAGAGGGGTGGCGTATGGTTTGCATGCCCCCCGATTCAGAAGCCGAGGCGTCTCATCTGCGGCGAAGCTTCAGTCAGTCGGCCTCGACGGATCACATCCGGATCTGGTCTGTCTGGTTCGAAATAGGGAATGGGGGAATGGGTTATGGGACCATTACTGGGGACTATATAGGGATCCATTCCCCGATTCCCTTCTAAGCCCCAGACAGTGATGTGGGCAGGGGGCTCGCTTCTGGCGGTTGGCCATGGATTATTATCTATCACGTGGTGCCCATCTCGGCAACTCTCCGAAATTCCTCTGGAGTCCCTGCTTCCGCCTTCAACTCTCAAGAATCACGACCGGGCGACAGCAATGCATGGCCATGTCTCGGTGTAAGTGTCCTGCAGGACATGCTCTGTTGTGAGCAACCTCCCGCTTGCACACTTAAGAATGAGGAACCTGTACAACCCTCGGGAAGCTAGCCTCAGTTTTATCGCCCAACTCAAAGGTCAGAGGCCTTCTGTAGACGGATGAGAGACCAAGCACAGATTTGGCTACACTGAATTGAGATCTCAAGTGGATTCTGCTACCCCCGCCTTCGGGCTCCGCCGCAGGGTCTGTGTGCTGAGCCCGGCAGAGCCCAAGGCTACCAGGCAAAGGAAACCCAGCGCCCAGCTGGTGCGCTCCTGGGTCACTCAGTGATTGCGGCTGCTTGTTTTGCTGCTGCTGCCATCTTGCTGCTCTCTCGTAGAGGTGTGCCAGGTGCTGTGGGTTGGTTTTGCTGCTGCGGTTGGGGCCTTCCTCTTGTCACACCACATGTTCGTTTTGTTGCAGCACAAGCTTGCATAACTAATTAGTCGGCCACATGCTGCCGCGACTGTCGTTGTTGCTGCGGCTGCTGCTAAGGCTGTGTCTAGTTGCTGGTGGCGCCGGTATTAGCAGCAGTACCAGCGGCACTAGGCGAGAGCGGCAGCGAGAGCGTCAGCTGTAGCAGTTGCAAGGTGATGGCCCGGTGACTGCAACAGCAGTCGCGATAGCAGGACAGCAGTCGCCCAACTGCTGCCGTTGTCGCGAGAGCAGTCTTTACGTTGCTGCCGCGACGGCTGTTCCGCTTCATACCATTCTTGACTTGTGGTGGTTCTCTGCTTCTTAAGCTGTGGACAGCTGCCAAACACAAAAATACTTTATGTCAACAGCTCCTACTTGCTGCTTGCAGCTGGATACAGCTTGATAGGATAAGACCATTCCGGGAATCGTATTTAGGCAATATGTCTCTACTGCGGCTGATTGCATTTCCAACATTACAAACTGACAGTTCTGCTCTCAAACGCCGTCCTTTTCCCCCTATGCATCCCCATGCCAACTGAACTGAGCCCGAACTCTTCGTGTAAAGCTGACAAGTGCACGTCCTACGTGTTGCCATCGAGTCTCCATGGCCCTTTCCCGGCGCTCAACCAGGCGCTCGAGATCGTCGAGCAAAGCCAGGCTTTTCGAAAGCCTGAGGGAAAAACTGGCATGATAGTCGAATGACGAAAATGCACCGGTAGTTGTAGAGGTGGTGGGAAGTAACAAGCAAAGCAATTACCTAAATGCTGCCGTGCTGATGACGCTGCTTCTAGTACCGATGACTAGTATGACGACGACGACCGTCGATGCCACCACCACAACTAGTAATTAACTACTCATGGAGTGGAGGATGTCGAGGACATACAAAGGCATGTATTCATCGACTGGCAGCCAGGCAGCTTCAGGGCAAAGGCAGTATGATGTTACCGACGACTCTTTATGGCTGAAGTGCTACTCATTCCTCTTCATACCCTTCATCTCAGTATGTGATCCGTTTGCTGCTGGCGCACATGTTTTCTATCAGACTTGTGCTTTGTTGTGCAGACTTGTTCGTCTTTCTCTCGTACATGTTAGCTGGCGAAATTTGAATCAAGAAGTGATGGTAGTCATCTGGCGAACCGCTGTGCTGTCACAGGAGCTGCGGGTCCATCACTTTCTGAGGAAATCTTGCCTTGAATTAAACGAATCAATGACGAATCAAGAATATGCCATTCATTGCAAGGAGGCTCGGCCACTTGGTGAATTAGGTGCATTGGTCGGTTAATCGAATTTTGCCGCATTTGCCGGAGATCGACAGCTGGCGCAGGGAATCAGTATCCGACCAGCTCCCAGCTGCACGCAGTGGTTGCTTGCGATGAAGGGCTTTGCATGTCTTCGGGCTCGAAACTGCCACAGTCGTACAGATCCAATGCAAACAAGTCCAGACTTTTGTTCGGCAACACTTTCTGTACGGTCGAAGCATCACCTCGGAGAACAAGCTTATACATTGCTTTCTCTTCAGCATATGAGCTCGCCGAGCTGTTCCAAACTACAGGTATGATGTCGTATCTGGAGAGCACTTCTTCGCTGAACTGTCCTTCCAACTGTTGGAGCTTCCTGTGGTTTCTGGGTCCGAAACATCGACCATGAAAGACGCGCATGAGTTGTTTCTCAGGCGGCAGATCATATGGCAAGCCTAGCTGTTGTGCCTTGTACAGCAGGCGGATAAGGCTTGATGGTTTCCAGTGCCTGGGGCTCGTGATTGCCAAAGTCTGCATAACCAGAAACTCATGGAAAGCTGGGGAAGCATAAGTCTTGGCAAGCTTTGCAGCGAGTGTCCCCTCCTTGTTAATGGTCGGTATTATCTTGTGTCCAACCTGGACGGCATTTATGTCGAACTCATCATCAATCAATCTCCTCAGGCTAAGACTACCCACGCGGACCACGTTTAGCTCCACAGATGGGCGCTCCGGAAAGACATCCTTCTGATAGTGCATCTGGAACTGATTCCTGCAATCTTTCTCATCATCCAGTGACTCATAGAACACGTCAATGTCATTGTAGTCCAGGACCAGACAGCCTTCTGTGCGACGGTAAGCCATCTCAGCGGCAGCATAGGAGCCTGCAATGATAAAGGGAATTGGTTGACCTCCTGCCACCTGATCCCAGATGTGCGCAGCAATGTAAGACACTACCTGCTCCAGGTCCTGTGGTGCCATGGCCCTTAAAGAGAATGCCCCGAAGATGGGATAAACGCAGACATGTACATAACGTGCCTAGACATGCTGCAAGGGCGCCGAGAAACCAGGAGACAGTCTCCCTGTCCCTTTTTGCCACTGGACTGAAGTCTAGCCAGTTTAAGACGCAAAGGAACTGTGCATGAGAAAATCATGCAGCCATGCTTGTGTTTGTGCGCCTTTGGGCCAATCTAATCTAATCAAGGCATGCAAACGGACGCGAATCCTGAGCAAGCTGAGGCAGGCTCGGTTTTGCAGTGGTAGGCTTTTGCTCCTGCCAGTTGAGCTTTGATTGCAGCAACGCATGTGGTGCCCCTCTTAATGGCACTGGATTTGGTGTCCTCTGTTGGCACGGCTGCAGGGGCCTGTGACGCGCGGCTACTTACTGCACAACCCACATCAGCCCCAGGGCTTGATTCGGCGTTCGTTTTGGCACGTGGTCATGCAGGAGCAGTGCCAAGAATCACAGGACTCCTTTGCCTCTCTCCGCTGCATGAAGCTGGAGCTTCCCTGGACATCTGCCACCAAGGCCAGAAGAGCCAGCGCAAGGGCACTTCTCAGCACCATGCGCTCAGTGCGTTCTGGCTCCGCAGGCAGGGTGAGGTACGAGCGGGAGATGGGAACAGCGCTATGCATGAACTCGGAGCTGAGCTTAGGAGACATGCAATAATAACGTGGCACGAGCAACTGTACCTGGACATGCAATGCTCCCGAGCCTTCAGTACGGCAGAAAAGAGCAGCGAGAGGCTTTTCAAGCTGAAGCTAGCATCACATTTCCAACTAGGCTCCGGCACTCCAGTACATACTCCTGCTAGTTGGTGCTGCTGCTTTGAGATGTGACTGGTGTTTGATTGCTGCGATGTTGATGTTGTGTTCGCTGTGGCGACTGTGTTGGCTGTGGTGGTTGGCTGCCAACGTGTTGCCGCTGCCATTTTCTCAGATTCTAGCTGTTGCTGCTGCGTAGCCACATCATAGCAACAGTCATGGCAACAATTAGCAGGACGGGCTATTCCTGCTGTGATTAACCTCCGTGTTGTTAAGGGATACGGGTCATGCCTCCAGTATGGTTCAGAATCACATGACTCCCCCAATGCTATCTCACAATTTGTCCGCAGGAGCTTAAACGATTTGATTCCGCGACCATCGACACCACCGTCACAACAATACAGAACTGGTCCTCAATAGCCGCAAAATTAGTCGTCGATGTAGACGTCGCAGTCATCCCAGTAGTATTACTAGTACCACCACTACTACTACTACTACTACTACTACTACTACTACTACTACTACTACTACTACTACTACTACCACAACGTGGTGGTAGTAGTAGCTGGCAAGTCGTAGTGGTAGTGGTAGCAGTGGTAATAGCAGCAAGAGCAGCAGGAATAGTAGTAGAAGCAGTTGTAGTAGAGCAGTAGCAGTAGCAGTAGTAGTAGTAGTAGTAGTAGTAGTAGTAGTAGCAGCCGTCGTCGTCGTAGTAGGAGGAGCGGGGCACAGGGATGGTTTCGGCTAGATGCTTCGGATTTTACGGTGTGTCGTTCCGTTTCATCTGCTGATGGGATTCTTATTTCAGGCTTTGCGTCTGCTGGGTTATGGTTGGATGGATGCTTCGGCGTTGCTGTGGTTCTTGCTGGTAGGATCTCCTACAGCAAAGAGTTCTTGAGAACCCCCTTGCAACCCCACACTACCTACTGTATGGCTCCGGCCAAAACCTGCTGCACCAGTCCATGCGCTCCTCCTGTCATGGCTTCCACCCGACGTTTTGGGGTATGTTCCTCCCTGTCCCAGCTTCAGCTTACCATCTGCCACCAAGCTGTACAGTGTCGAACGGCAGCTGAGAAGATCACGTCAGACCCACTCATGTGCAGATGCCACCAGCTGGCCTCTTTCAACTGCACCACGGGCACCTCAACATCATCATCCTCGGCTGGCCTGCAGAGGCGCGTGGAAGAGGTAGTGAAGAGGCTGCACAATCTCTGCGAACCTCCCCTTTGAACTGAGACCCCCTTGTCGGAGGTCCAACCGACATGACGACTGCTTCAGAACTCTCAAGACCAAAACTACCTAAACCTAAACTCGACGTTAAGCTCCGCACATGGTCGGCAAGCCCACTTCTTCTTTGAAGCTTCGGAGGGAGAAGATGCAAGAGGTGCCTGCTGCGTGCTCCGGACTCTATTGTCACAAAAGCCTCCCGGGAAGTTTCCATCGTTTCAATCCAAACGAAGCCTGCCTTGGGACTTGGGTCTAAAGAACGCTGCCGTGAATTGCAGGAAGACGACTGCCTCAGTGCGAACAATGTGAAGGCCAACTGGCCGAGAGGATCGAAGTCTTTCTCGTCAACCTCATACGAACTTGCAAACCTGCCAGGTTGAGCCCTTGCTCGATCACGGGTCATTCAAACAACAACACAGATGCAGTGCATCCACCAGGCAGGCTGCCACGCGTATTCACGCAGGGCCTGAGGCCCAAGCGAGGATCACCTCGTCGGGCGCCTTGCTATGCAATGCCAGCTGCTCTAGCTGGGCCTCAGCCACTTGCACGTCCAGACGGATGCGTCCCTCTTTCGGATGGGGACTTTGATTCTGTTCCCAGGAACATGCAATAAGGCCGTCAGATCAAAAAAACATGAGAAGTATAAACAAATAAGCGTAGCGGAATATAGCCGACCAATAGAAACAACAACACACAAAATAATGACACTCTGTATGGCTCTTCTGTCTTGTTGCAGTTAGTTAACAGAAAATAAGACATTACGGGCCCCATATTTACAGCATTACTGTTTTTCATGTTTTTGGTTTGCTTCAGATTTGAAGCAACATCACTCGTGCACACGATATCGTTATCCTCATATGCATATTCTTCAATAGGATACTTGCACGTATACCCATACATGTGCTTGTTTCAATTGTCGACGTGACTATAGAGCAGGAGGTTCGACTCACTTCTTGGCTGGTTTAGGCCCGAAGGGCGAGAACACTGCTACTAAGGGGAAGGCGGGGGGGGGGGCGGCGGCAAAAAAAAAAAATGGCGCGGGAGGGGGGGGGGGCAGCGCCAAAAAAAAAAAAAAAAATCTAAAATCCAAAAAATCATTTTTTTTTTTTTTTTTGGCGCTGCCCCCCCCCCCCCCGCGCCAGATTTTTTTTTTTTTTTTTGGCTGCCCCCCCCCCCCCCCACGGGGACAGCAAGGCAAGCGGCAGCCAGCGCCATGGTGCGCCATACTGCGGGAGCGGACACCAACCAAGAGCCACATGATTTAAACCTGGTGTCCTTAGCCCATGCAAGCCTCACTACAAGTGAGTAGATACTCTATGCCGAATATTAAGATCAATAAGATTACAAACTAACCAGATAAACATCTATAGAATGTATAAAAGACCTCAGAGACTTACTGCGTATAGAAAAGTCGATATCTGAGATTACATCTCACAAAGATGATAAACTTTTTATGACTGATGACATCACATGACCAGGAGACCTTACATTAACATACATTCGACGGATGCGAACTCACGACACAACCACTGCCTGAGCAATGCCAGGTGGACAACCAGTTGAAGGGTCTGTCGTAGTCAAGCCATAACAACAATGTTTGACGTCGCATATGATGTGGTAGCATATGCGAGGACATATGGTCGGTATATATGTCGGATGTCAGATACATGTATGAGCAGTCTCCTCGATAACATATACAACAAACACTGTCTTCGCCTTTCATTGACAGGTTGCGATGTAAGGGATCCGAATCCGACTATCTTATGGGTGCATGAAAACGGGAGTTTGAATATTCCACTTGTGCGATGTTCGAGCAACATGGTGGGCTCTGTCGGGGAGTTTACAACTGGAAAGGCTGGAAATCCTTATTGGTTTATGTTCCTGTGATCAGGATCGGCTACTCGCAGGAATCTGAATATCATTATACCAAAATTGGCTAGATATGGAAACAATATATCTCATGAGCACGTCATGGTGAAGTATCTTCCTTCACGTGAACCATGTGCATCATAGATTAATATGGCGTAACACACTCGTAAACATGTAGCATGAGGTGCTAGGGAGATGCCATACGAGCTTGGCAAGCTCACGGGATGCACAAGGACATCTAAGTCAAATCTCATAGAGAAGATATGTGTCATGAGATGCTGCCTGCATCTTGCGACCTATTCATACCTAGCTGTGACTGTTGTAACTTCATGGGAGATTGGGTTTATGTGTGAGAATAAGTCTCCGGGCTTTTAGAAAGGTCTACCGAGGGGTTTAACCAATATGTGGTGCAATCCCGCTTGCCCACGCGGTCGGAAGGCGTAAAGGGGGAAGTCCGAACGATGCGGGCATCTTATAAGGACACCTACTGCGATGATCTATACGGATGGCTCAATATCATAATGATATGCTGAAGAGATTTCCTGGTGCTCTATGTTGATATGGCCATATTCAACACATAAAATGCCTTTTTTTGTCACTCGTGCACATTGAAGGAATGCGGCGAATATCCTGTTCAACTGCCGATTGGGTGCCTCATTATGACGGCTCCATTACTCTTGCCAAAACTGGCATGCAGCTGCCAATGTAATCTGCCATGTTTACTTCCACCACAAGAGATACTTGACTTCTTGGTCATGTCACATATTAGAAAGTTGGTTTTAGGCATAGTATAGTTATTATACTTTTGCTTGGGTAACAGGATTTAGTTTACGGAGATATCCATAAGACACACGATGAAGTGCGTCATGAGCTTTAACAAGACCATATTAGAATGGTTGCGGCATACAGGTGCATTGCCTGCAGCATAGATACAACAAGCGGTATTGTTTACAGCTGATGACAATCGTATGTGCGTGTCGGTGTATGTTTGTGTGTGCATGTGCAAATAATGTGTTTTCACGGCAGTCGACCTATGACTAGATGGTATGAGCAACAAGACAGCGAAAATGATTAATATTGCAGGTGGATCTCCATATGTCTGCATATACAATAATGATAGCAAAGCACCATCTCCTTGGAAAGTATATTAACTAAATTATATCCTTATCCTTTAGGGGCTCGTGGGCTTCAGCCGCAATGATCACTAATCTGGATAAGCCAGCATTGTAGTTGTCAGGATGTATACAGCAACATCCATGCGATGATTGTCTTCGATGGTCGTAGGTTTTCAGTTTTCTGGGTTGGCTTCTGTGAGAAGCTGTTGCAATTGAAATACACAATTCCGCACACACAGCTCCGAATACTGGACAAATTATTGGACTGGGAGCTCCGAAACAAGGACAACCAATGCAACAATAATCGCAAACAATAAATACGCCTTTGAAGGAGGTTGCACTAAACAAGCCAGCATTCATACGAAAAACGGTATCGAAACTGAATGTAGCAAAGACATCTATGTACATATATGTATATATGTACATATGCAAATGGATCCGGTAACACGATCCAGTTGATCGCCTGCATGTATACAGCTTGAGACGGTGGGAACTGTTTGAGCAACCTGCCTGTATGATGCCAAACTCAACTTGTCATGCTACAGTATATGCTGGACGTCTATATCCAAAATCATATGTTGCCATGCACATGATGGGGCCTGCAAAAACCGGTGGGATATGTAGCGATTCTTTACGTTGATATGCAAAAGTTATATAGATTGACCGGTCTTGTACATCATTCAAAGGTGGAGAAATGCACGGTTTCGCAGACGCATTGTATCTCATTTATCTGCAAGATTATACTATGAGACACAAAGAACAACCACAAGATTGAAGTGGCATTGATTTATCGGATAGCTTCATGAGA